CCAGGACAGACCTCAGTGTGAGGCTGTGAGGTTGACATGGGGGCCCCCCCAGGGCTCCCACCTCCCACAGGTGAGCAGACAGGAAGCCAGGCCTCCAGGGTCCCCATCAGGGATAGACATGTCATGTGTCCACCCTTCTTTCTCCCTTCCTGACCCCCAGCCCTCAGGAGCTAGAAAACCCTTCTCTCCTACCCACCGAGTGCCTTGCCCGGTGGCACCTCCACTCACTGGAGCCCTTCTTTCTGTCCTCCCGGGCACCCCAGCCATGCACGCAGCACCCCCGCAAGCCCAGGGCAACCCCTCCCCGCCTGCAGCACCCCCTTCCCATCCGAAGCACCGCCTCCCTGCCCGCGGCACCCCGCACGCCCGCGGCACCCCCCACAGGGGTCCTCAAACTTTTTAAACAGGGGGCCAGTTCACTGTCCCTCAGACCGCTGGAGGGCTGGACTATAGTTTAAAAAAAAACTATGAACAAATTCCTATGCACACTGCACATATCTTATTTTGAAGTAAAAAAACAAAACGGGAACAAATACAATATTTGTATTTGCATGTGGCCCGCGGGCCGTAGTTTGAGGACCCCTGCCCCACACCCACGGCACCCTCACCTGAGGCAGAGAAGCCACTGCCTGGGCCCTCAGAAACTCCTCTGGTCCGACCTCCACTTCTTCCTGAGCCACGTGACCCAGCCCTGAGCAGCAGCGGGCAGCCTGCGTCCTGGGTAAATACTTAATGAACTTTCCAGCCGGATAGTGTGTCCCCGGTGCCTCCCGAGACTGCTGAGCCGGGAGCACCCCCTTCCCTGGGGACTCCGGCAGGAAAGAGATTCTCCTACATCAACTCGGTTAAGGTGGTCCCTTCCCCTCTGGCTCGGGACACCCAGAGCCCCTCTGAGCATTCCCTCCGCGCCCTAAGGTGCCGTCCGATCAATAATGCAGCTGCCTCTTGGGAGAATGCGATGGGTCGATGGGTCGACTCAGTCACGCTGGCCTCGGCAGATCTGTTCTGAGAGCAGCTTTTGATGGAGAGAGCGTCAGCGGGTCTGGGAGGCAGGGCACTACCTGATGAGGTGCCCAGGAGCTGGGGGTCGGGGTGGGGGGGGAGAACAAGGTCTGGGAGCAGAGACCATGAATTGCCTGCTTTGGGACCGCACCCCCAGATCCCACCTGGCTCCTCACCCTGGGGCCAGTGTGGGCGCCCACATGCCCGCGGCCTGTGCAGAGGTCTGACTCCTGGCCAGGGCCTTCTCTGTGACAGCATGTGACACCCGTCAGCCGTGCCTCGTCCGCACCAGCTGGCATCTCGGCCTCTTCACCGAGCTCCACGAGAAAGCCCACAAAGCATGCCCTCTCCCCCACAATTCCCAGAACCCCAACAGGGCGCCTGTCACACGGTGCTCGGAGTTTGACCTGAAAAATCCACCCTCCCAACATTTCTGTATTCTCAGCTCTTCCACATTCCCCCCCGCCGCCCCCCCCCTCCCCGCCGCCAGATCGGGCACAGAAACCTATCCATTACCACGGTTACCCGAGCAGCTATTTGAGGCCCATCACGTCCTAATTCCTGGACAAGATGTGCCATCAGCTGATAGAGTCGCCTAAGGGGTGGACACTGGAGCGGGAGAGGTGACGCCCTGCCACGGGCTTCCCAGGCGCCGCCCAGGGAGCGCCGCTCTCACGGCCAGCAGGGCTCCCCCTCCCTTAGTTTCTTTCCATTTCTTTTTTTAATTGAATAGAGAGAGAAACTTTGGACTTGTTGTTCCACTTATCTACACATTCACTGGGTGATTCTCCTGTGCGCCCTGGAC